AATTAAGCGTGTGTGTGTTATATACGTAAAAATTGTTACATTAAAAAAATAACTATACCATGTATTAAAACACTCTCATTTTCTACCTGGCTACATACCTATAATTATTTAGATGTAAGTAGTAAAACGATGTAGTGGTATACAATTATTTAATTCCTTGGTTGTCTAGGAATCTTTTCTAGGAAGTCTACTATGATAGAAAGTGGCTAATGTGAAAACTTGTTGCAAAGCAATATTAAAGATGAGACTCAGGACGTCTTTCGATGATCACCGAAGGACAGTGGTGATTACACTTTCTGTTTCTATATTTAAACATTACTCGAATGTTTGTCTTATTAAAAGCCCAATTAAAATGTTTTCAAGGAAGAGAAAGTTTCAATGTAAAATGTAACTGCAAACTTTCGTAGCCGACTGTACCTGTCTGAATTCATACACTGAGTTGCAAGATTTCCTATGAAAATTGTTTTCCAACTAGCTTGGAGGGGCGCGGCGCATCATAGCAGCCCGCATAGTTGGAATGGCACGTTGGCCCTGTGAGGAATTCCACCTTTTCCGAATCCTCAGCTTTTCTCCCCAAGTTCCAGCTTTGTGCGTGCACAATTTCATAATTACACAACGAGATATAAATAAAACGAAGAAAATATTTATAAAGATATTTTATTAAACATTTTTTTGTAAAATAGATTAATTAAAACCGACATTTACAACAAACAACTATAAAATTCTTTGTATCGTTTGTCTAACATTAATGTCAATAGGATAGGGCCATCTATAAAGAACGCCACACAATTTTTTACTACACTCCGACGTGGTATTTTTACATTATTGACACTTCAACGAGTGACGTCATATTTTTTAAATTTTATAACTTAAAGAAATGTGACGTCACGAAGTGAAGGACCATTTCCGGACCCCACTGTCACGTCATGTCACATTTCGTGGACCTACCTCCTTAACGTGTGACATAATTTATGGATAGTCTTACGTTGATTATACGTTGGGCGATTGGACTCTCATCTTATGGTTTAAGAATAATATTTGAACACGTAGTTTAACGTATCACTCGAGGATGGGTAGCGGGTTATATTAAGTAAACTATAGAAATTATTATAGTATACAGTTGCGTACCGTCCTGCTGTATATACATACAATAGTGAGTACCACGACAATACATTTAGTTTCTATACGACACGTTAGACACCAAATTTCTATTTTGTTGTACACACAATATTAATCGTAATTATAGCGCCTAGCTCTGTGTCTACCAACTCCTTTTTGCCATCCATTCTGCTCTCATTACTATTTATTTTATGTTTACTTTGCATAATACGTAGCTAATGTAGCATTAACACAAGGGATGTTATTTCAACCGTACATAACTTTTATAGCGGATATCCCAGTACTTTGTCAACGCAACTTCCATACTTGTTGCTTTATATCAAATTCTTCGTTTCGTATTTAATAGACAATCATAAATTAAATTTAAGTTTAAATTAAACAACCTTGTAATAGTGTGGGTTTTCTAACTTGGCAAAAGACCACAACAAATATGGCTTATTTCAAACTAATCATAACCGTACTAGTGAAGTCCTTTTATAGAGTGTAGTCGTTGGCACAGATGACACAAGGTTAAATTATGTAGGGACCAAACAAGCTCAATATTCAAAATCACTTTTATGACGATTTATTTTTTTATGTCATCATTATTTAACTTGACGTTTGTAACGCTTTTCAGCGATCATACATCAGGGCTTTTACCTTCTATTGTCGTTGAGTTTGCTTATATCTTATATGCCATCCTTATGTAAATGTCAAACTAAAGAATTTTTAATCTGTGCATTTGCGTGAATTAATTCTTAGGAGTTTTATTAGTTTTAGCATGAAACTGTCGTTTTTACTCAGTGAATTTGAGATATTTCATTAGTTAAATATATAATTCATTACCTCAATCTGTTTTTAGTGTGCATCAACCTTGTGAGAAAATCACAATTTTATGAAAATTGTGTCTTTGTTTACGAAGAATACCAAGTAAGAAAAATACACTATATGTTGTATGTACAAAGCAATTACGGAACCCTACGTTACACACTGTTAAGGTAATGAACTTTTGATTAATTGAATTCGAATTGCACAGTAGTATCGAATTGACAATCCAATTTTCAAAGTAGACGTGAAGTGCGAAAACTCGCTTTTACCCAGTTAACGTTGTTAAGTTTTCACATCAATATTTTACAAAAATACACAACAGAGACCTACTATCCAGTTATTCAATGAAAGATTTACAGCTTCGGTGTACATTTAATGTCCTATGCACAATATTATGGCTCTTGTATACGCACATAATAATAATTAATTAACTTCGCGACAGGAACATAACGATGCCAATGAAAATTGAATATGAAAATCGCCATAAAAGACGTTACGTATCTCAGTTAATAAAACTAAATTTATTGTGTTGTGAAACCCTGAATTTCGAACTATAATTTAAAATTTTTTTTTTTTGAAAAAAAAAAAAAAAAAAAAAAAAAAAATATAATGCAATGATTTTCGTCAAATTGTAACTTTAATTTAATTGCACAATTTCCTTTGTAATTGTAATATAGTAAATTTTTAATTTACGTTTAAGAATACCCATCTGTTAAATGAAAAATATATTTTGGTTAATTGCACATGATGATAACTCTATAAAAAATCTATTTAAAACGAGACCATAGAATTCCTTCTGATTGCTGATACCAACTGAGCTACTGTATACCCTCTCGAATTATTTTTACTTATTAAAAAACACTGTTGTCGTAGGTTCAAGATCTCCACATAATATCGATTTTCTTGAAACAAAACATATATTTAATACAATAAATATACAATCTAAAATCTTACATAGTTTTTTAATCCTGTTTCTTAACAATTTTCTCCTCTGGTATACATTGCATTTCAAATAGGGGATACCCCAAAGCCACTACATACTCCATACATTGATACTATACCTTCCTTTACAACAACAATATCATACCTACAACAGCTACATATAAAACTCTTATCGTTAACATATAAGCACAGTTTCAAAAGCTCCTTTGACTAGATTCGGCTTAGAAATGTACTAGATTTAATAAACAAATAAGGGCGCTTTGTCAAAGCGATACTTATAATAGTTACGTGTTGCATTTTTAGGTCGGAAAGTTCTGTAGGGGTCAACCATAAATTGCCTGATGCTGAAGAGGTTTGTGACAGAAAGTATGTCTACATTCTATATATTTGCGAGATTACAAGAATATATGTATAAAATTCAATAATTTATAGGACGTCTGTCGAAAGTTCAAACAATAAATTCGTAGAGTAGGGATGAATGTCGATCTATTAAAACTACTGATTCTCTCGATTCCACGTATTACATTTCGTTTGAAAATTTTAATATTTTTGCACATGATGGCACTATATAAATTAAAAACCGATAATGGATTGTAAAAAAAATTACTACACGGTCAGGAACCGGCATCCCCAGCGTGCTGTTGCTCTAACCAGTTGAACTACCGTGTCTTATAAAAATTATAGTCGATTTTTTCAATCCATTGATTACACACGATCAATCGGTTATAGCAACAGCACGGAACGCAGTGGATGTCGGTTCAAGTCCCACCTGTGTAGTAAAATGTTTTACAATCTGTAATTGATTATTTTAAATCATTATGTTTCTTTAACGTAAATGGAATAACGCTTTCAGGTTTATATTTAGTAAAAATTCGTTATCTTTCAGCTCCATTGTTGTGAAGACTTCGGTTGTCTAAATAAAAACGAACTCAATTGTACTCCGAAGATAACGATTCGATACAAAGTATGAATAACGAGGCTTGGCTTCTCATCTTGGCACTCCTAACTGAATGCTTTTGATTCCTTTTAAGTAAACAATGGAATTTGTATTAAAATTTTAAATTTAATATGTGTTAACTTATCAAAAAAGAAATGTAATTTCTAAAGGTATAATTAATGATAGTTTATTGTTTTCTATTTAATTATTTATGACTTAATTTACTTAATTGATTTGTACACTTTAATATGAGTAATTCGCGCCTATTTACAATATTAAAAAAATGCACATAGAGCCAAGGTCAAATACAATACATACTTTGTTATGGAAATCATTCTCGTCATTTTTCATATGTCAAAAGAACAAATTTAAAAAATATCAAAAAGTATAGGTAAATCAATTTGATTAGACGTTACAAATACCTTCGTACTTCATTGATAGTTTTAATAGCGCTATAATAATGATCACACGATTTATGAAATAAAAATAAATTTTTAGCTGTACAATGGTAGAGAAAAACGTTAAAACCTAAACGTAGAATATGTTTTGTTTATTAGTTGATCCCATGTATTGTGTTAAATTGTATGACTCTATATTGTATATTTTTGGTAAATAGCTACGTCTTAAACATTTCATTTTTTTAGAAAACTCCAAAAGAAATTATCTAAATTAGATAAATATTAATATGCAAGTTTTTAGTCGAGCAATAAACATATACATACAAAAGCATACATTACAAACTAAGAGTTATAAAAAATACATATTTAATAACAAACCAAAAAGTATTAATAATAGAAAATTTAAAACAGAATCACATTTAAGTGGTTACGTAAATTACAAATCTTACGTGTTTTGATGTGTGTATAAGAAACAGTAACAAACAAGCACAGTTTAGATAACGTAAAGGGCTCTCGACCTTCAGCAAGAAGGAAAAAGTTTATTCCCCAAGGAATATTCCGAGAAAATACAAATAGGAGATCACGCAAATAACGATGGAACATACCCATCACATTATAAAATAAGATCTTATCGTCTAACATTTCATCCATTTATATAGGATCCACATAAACATTTATACTCTATATCTACCGGAGTACTGCCCTGTCCTCCGTGTAACAAATAACATCCTTATATTCACAAATTCACATAATCTAACTAGTTTCTGACACTGAGTTTACGTTTAACGTTTGTGCGTTCACCTCACTAGTGCGGCCGCTAGTGTTGTGCTCACCGGATGAGAAGCATTATGGTTGTTGACGGCTTCCGGTTGCGTGAGTTCCGGTGGCTCTTCGGGGGGTGCTGCGGCCGGCCTGATGTTGTCAAGTCTGGGTCGCGGCGAGTAGCGCGGCGTCAGCGCAATGCCCCCGACAACTGGGTGCGATTGGCGATTCCCGCCTGAAGGACGTCGTGCATCAGCCGCTCGTTCTCCTGCCGTACTGTGGACAAAGACACCGCTGAATAACACTTGTAATTAATAGTATAAGTAGTAGTATCAGGTCTTATAAGAAGTAAATCTAAGTGTTATGGCTGGCGTCACTGAAAATCGGCGCTGAGTGATGTCTTTCCACAGCCAAGTTAGTGTATATAAAAATTGTAATCCATTAATGTACTTGTTTAATTTCTTTGTTATATTTTTGGTTTAGATTAAATTATTTGAATTTAAATTAAATAAACGGTTATTGTCGGTTTAGTAATTTCTTTAACTGACTTTAAAAGGTAAGCTCAATATTTGTGTGTGATAGAGGTGGTACATCGTAACCGTAATAGATGGTTGGTTTAAACTTAACAAGAGCTAAAAAAGTACAAACTTTATTTGAATCGGTGCAAATATCAAAATATATTATTGTATATGCTTTTCATCGCTTTGAAGTCATTATTGTAGATTTTGTTAATTTTGGTTTTAAACACTTAAGCGGCTAGAAAATTAGTAATTATTAGGATAACAAAAGTATTAGTGATTACTCTGGAAAGAGTTAAATTAAAAAATAGATAAGTTAACAAATGTATTTCGTTTTAAACTGTTACGTAAACAACAAAATAAACTTAAGTCTCACTCTGATTTCTGTAGTGTCATAGTCAAAGATACAGTAGCAATGTAAATAAATATTCGAGTACTTAGTTTATTTCCGGCGTAATCAGAAGGCTGACCTATTTTTATTCACCCATCGACGATTCATGAAAACATTTCATTTATGTCAAGAATTTTGCTATAAGGATGACTTGACTTCGTTGTATTGTCATCATATTTATATTTAACGCTATTTTGTCACATATTACATGTCGTTTTACGTAAATTAAAAAGTGACTTACTTTAGGAGTCAAGTGTGAGTTAGTATGAAACCTATTGTAAATTTAAAAAAAACTATGTCAATCATTTGTGAAATAGTGTAGAAAATGTTCATAAACAAAAACTACTGAAAAAGAAATAAATAAATGTAAGAATGTAACTAGTCATATTTAAAAAAACAATATCGCCGGATCATAGTGAAAAGAAATGAAAAACAATTTAAATAATAAATTCCGCGTTTTGAACCGCCATAAATTTTTTTAATACTTCCACGAAATTACACAAGTCTTATTTTGTATCACATAAAGTTAACGTTGAATAAGAATTCGATACCTGTTTCATTAGCTTGTGCGGCGCAAAAACAATTAGCACGGACCAAAAGTTTCACTTAAAGGTATTCAAAGTGTTGCAAAGCGACATTAATTATCCTAAACAAATAAAGTGTAGTGAACTAAGGCTACTGACGGGGCTTTAATATAACACTGGCTGTAAAATTTGCCAAGAGATAACACAGTTAAAACTGCTAGCCACGCGGCGGTTTCGGTTCAGACATTTTATGACAGTGGATTTACACTTGGAAACTTTAATACTTTTTTAGACTGACGATACCGATTTTTTTATTATTTATTTTAGATTTTTTAATTTATAGTGTATTCATATCATTTGCAAAATAATATGTTCGTTTCGACCTATTGCTAGCCAATGGTCTTCTTTCTTAAGGGTTTCTAGAGATCGACCACGCTCCCTCTAAATCTGTGATGACTTACCTTCACACCGCCCGCATATGAAGCTTTTTAAATGCACAGGGGGGGATACTAAACTTCATATTGGTACTAGATTGTTTTAAACAGTTGTAAATACAGATTTCAACAATATTTGTATCGAACCTTTGCTTTGCAAAGATAAGAATGATTGGTGCCTTACAATAAATACTACAGTGATCTCGACATATTTTATCCTAATAGATCGCGTACGAAAAATAAAATTAAACGCTATCACAGTTAGAAAATTTCCATGACGGATGATAAAAATATAATGAAAAATTTACAAACTTTACACACTTTAAAATTCCTTTATCTATTTCCCTGGCAATTTAATTAGAGATTGGTAGACTTGTTGTTTAAATTTATCCTCGTAATTTTTTTTTCTTATTTGTTTCTTTATCAAATTGCTTTGAGTAATAAGTGTATGTATAAATAATGTGTATATATCATAGCCATAAGATATTAGCAATGTTTGTAAATCTTCTATATTCACTTAATATTTTACACCATATTCTTTTTGTCTCTTTACCTAGTATTTTTTCAAATTCTGTAACCTGTTTTGACTAATTTTAGTGTTAATATTTTAATCCATAACTATGTAGTGTAGAATACCAAATAAACAATTAATAAAAAAACATAGGTAAAAATTTGGTAGCAACGAATATAATATACTCGATAAAAAATCAGAAAACTGTTTGTCAGATTTTACTCCAAAATTGAAACCATTATAATTCACACCCCTTTTGACTATTTCAAAAATAAAAAATATTAAAATTTTTCAACTTAAAAAGTGCAAAGTGCAAACTTTGCAAAATTTTTTTTTATTTAAAAAATTCTTATATTAATCGATGAATATTAAATCTAATTAATTCTTTTCAAATTTAATTTATATATACACAAAATACATTACTTAAATATTCAGTATTCGATTAATGTATAGGACGCCGAATAGGCCGCACACCGACTAGTTTAGAATTTAACCGAAGTAAATTCGTAGCAAGCCTAGTCAAAATAAAAGATAGTACACAATAATTATTAACAGACCACGGTCTGGAAACGCGGCTACTGAAAAAACCTACAATCTAAGAATTTTATAAGCAACTTCCTACTTCAAAAATACTTCAAGTGCAACTTTTATAAGCAGTTTATCATTTTCCTAATAGGACATTCTCACATAAAATTTTACACGTAACTTCTGCATTTGAAATTGTAGCAGACGTGAAATATTTCCATTTCAGTATTTCCGCCTCAATAGAAGCGTTACATCGCTTGGCGCCTCCCTAATCGTTTGCCGTGGACGTCCACCGAAGTTTCATTTCGTGATAGTCCCGAATACGTCAGATCTTCAAAGTTCTTTAGATAGAATTTACGCTGCACGCCTCGATGGGTTTTGGATTAATGGGTGCTTTCAGGGAGCGCAATCTGACTTTTACTATCGTGAAAAACTCGGGAAGAATAAATGCTTGCATCCATCAATGCTGCCAATTTGTTTGTGAGGATGTTTTACTTCTTCCTTAAATTTAGAAGGTTTTAACTGAACGCGTGTTTTGAAAGTCGGCCGAAACTTAATTTTATTCCGTTAACAGACGGTTACGGATTCCAGAAACGCAGATCCTCTGGGAGGTTTTTGACATTATAAAGTTAATTGGACGTTAAATAATATATTTCGTATCTGTGATAAACAGAAAAGTGACAAAATAGAAAAATATTTTAACATTACTGACAGAATTGCACAGATCTTTCTTACCAGATACTTTCTTTACCAGTAGTGAGAAGTTTTGAAGTGATAAAAACGTAGTATAATTAAATTACAAAATATACATATTTATGAATTCTCTGTAATTTTTGTAAGTTAGGCTTAACGGTCTAAAACAAGAAGTGTATTAGTTTTTTTTACAATTTATATTAACAATGGCCTAACACTCTGGGTGCTTTGCAGCGGCCTTCTTTAAAGTCAAAGTCAAATCTGCTACGCTAGCGCCATCTATTTCGTTGTACGTGCCGTAAATAAAATAAATTGAAAATAAGTTAATAATAATATATCTCGTTTTAAACCTTTAGGAGTGATTTATTTAAAATTATTTATCCTTAATCTAAACGCCGCCAAAAGTCTCCTTTCCATCCAGCCAAAATAGTGGTAATCTACGTCACAAATAAGAAAAGAAGGTAGAGTTGAACTTTCTAGTTTTCTATTTATTGTAGTAATCTAGACTGAAGTGAAAGTACCTATAGTTTGAAATAAACGCTGAGAAGGCAGAGGTTTTATTACACAGTCGACTTTTTAATAGCTCGTCTGTTTAACTGCTATCATTATACCGAGAAACTTTCATCCGTAGATAACCTGCATAGAGTTCAACAGAATGTGATGTTCTGGCCTCGTTCCAAAGTAGTTTCTGTGTAAATAAGTGGCCAAATCGAGAATTGTAAACAAGGACGTTTCCTAAACATGCATATTTCTGATCTGTATTTTGTCATTTAGTCCCTTTTCTACGCGTGTAGTTTACCTAAAAGAAAACACTTTAAACGGTTACAAACGCGATAAATTTGGTAAGTCCTAAACATAGACATTATATGTCAGCATCCGTTTTATTTCCGTTCCGTTATGTCCGTTATTAGCATAAATCTGTAGCTAATCGGAAAAAAAGTAGATAAGAAACGTTGCGTTAACACACATATGTGTGGAATATTATTTTCTCAATGTAGGCATGGAAGAGACAATTTTATGTGTCCGTTTCAATAATTTATTACATTAATGAGCAAATAGTTGTAAGACATAACTTCTCTGTATGTATAGAAGATAAAATGAGTTTCGTTGGGATTGGAACCCGGATCTTTAGTGCTTAAAGAAATTGGTTTAACCGTTGAGCTGGAGGCAGTAAGAATTTATAAGAACTCAAATATTTTCCAGCAGCACTATGTAAAGAACAATGATTGCGAGCAAAACTATGTTTGCTTACGAACCTAATAAAACAAAGAAACAGCCAATAACTTTACAGAGGAAAAGTCGAAGTATTGATAAAATAAACTTAGTTTATCTATACATATAGATGCTCTGGCTGGATTTTCCATAATTTTCTCTTCCAATAGCAGAACAACTAACGTATCCTATAATGTATATCAATATGATTGAAGAAGTTACTTTTCAAATACTATCTATAGTTTACGCGAGTAGTACACATTTAAATACAACACTTTAACGGTTTAAAACGCGATATATTAGTTAAACTTATTGAAAATGATTTTTAACTTCAGCCCGTCGTGACCCCGTTTCCCCGTGACCACGGCTGCTTCAATGCATCCGAAACGTCGTTTTAAATCGTTACAGTGTTTTGTTTAAAAGTTACTTATTTTTTAAAAGAATTCTTTCTACGTCTTTAGTAGTCCAAAGGCTATTAAAACGCGCCTAGTACCTAATTATTGAAATTAATAGAATTTTACTTTTTCTTTCAATCAAAAAGTATCAACTTTGAATTCATGCTTGTTAAGTATTATAATGAATGTTCTCTGAAAAAAAGGGGGAAAATGCGAACCTTATATTATTATTATAACTTCTTTTTTTTTACCCGGACGGAATTTTTATATTCCTACCACCCATTAAATATCAAAATTTCCAGACGAAGTGAAACGTGTTTCAGAAAAATTATAAATCAAAAAATTACAAACATGATGGACTCGGTGGGGATCGAATCCTCGACCCGTTGGTGAGCCATACATTGCTACCACCAGACCAACGTCCCTCTTACCAAAAAGACGTCATAGACAATCTAACATTCACACAAAATAACACCAATAAGTCTGTCTACAGTATACATCTAACAATATATCTTGTTAGAAGATAAAACAGGTGCATAAATAAATGTTGTCCAAACTTTTAAGAATCAAGCTAATTCATTACTCGGGTTTAATATTAACGGTTCGCAGTAAAGAATATTTTTTACGTGAAATTAGTTTTACATTATGTATCGGATGATTGTAATTCAAACCTACAGAGCAACAGCACGGAACGCTGATGATGCCGTTTCA